CCGGAGTTCTGAATGTGATCATGGGTCCTTCGGGCAGTGGAAAGACATCGCTTCTCAACTCAATGGCTCTGAGACTACGGAATTCAGTGGGGACGAAGTATCGGCCAGCTGGGAAACTCACCTTCAACGGCGCTGTTCCCTCCGATTCAGTTATTCGATCAGTCTGCTCTTATGTCTGCCAAGACGACGATGCGCTGCTGCCGTCGCTTACAGTTCGTGAGACACTCCGCTTCGCCGCTGGTCTTCGACTGCCATCATTTATGAGCAAGGAGGAGAAGGATCGTCGGGCAGAAGACGTGTTGTTGAAGATGGGCTTGAAGGATTGTGCTGATAACCTCATTGGCGGCGAACTCGTCAAGGGTATTTCTGGAGGAGAGAAACGCCGTGTTTCTATCGCAGTACAAGTCCTCACTGATCCTCGTATTCTTCTTCTGGACGAGCCAACTTCTGGATTGGATGCTTTCACCGCGAATTCCATCATGGAAGTTCTTCAAGGTCTCGCCAACGAAGGTCGAACTCTCATTCTTACCATTCATCAAGCCCGCTCCGACCTATTTAGGGAGTTCGGAAATGTATTGCTTCTGGCAAGAGGTGGTTCGCAGGTTTATTCTGGGCCTGGAAAGGATATGCTTGGATATCTAGCCCGTCATGGATACGAGTGTCCGACACATACTAACCCAGCTGACTTTGCACTCGACATGATTACTATCGATCTCCAGCAGGAAGGCAGAGAGTTGGAGTCTCGAAAGCGAGTTCAGAAGCTGATCGACCATTGGAAAGAAGAGAGTTCCTCTCCAAACGAGAAGGTAGTTGGTCCTCGAGATGAAGTCACCAAAGATACCCCTGAACAACACAACACTCAGAACATAACACATCGCCGCTCCTTCAACAAAGCCAATCTCTCAACCCCCGCCGAACTCGGTGCCCTCATCCGCAAACGCGCCCCGATAACAACATCCCTCCCCCTCCTCCTCCACCGCGCCACCATAAACACCTACCGCCAACCCGAGCTCATCGTCGCCCGCCTCATGCAAGTCATCGGCCTTGCGCTTGTCCTCGCCCTCTTCTTCGCCCCCTTCGACAACGACTACTACTCCGTCCAGAACAGAATGGGCTTCGTGCAGGAGATTGGCGCCTTTTACTTTGTCGGCATGTTGCAGAACACGGCGATCTATCCGAATGAGCGCGATGTGTTTTACAGAGAGGATGACGATGGGGTTTACAGTGTGCATGCGTTTCTGGCGGCGTATACGATTCTGGAGGTGCCGTTTGAGATTATCAGTTGTATGATCTTTGGTGTTTTGGGGGTTATTGCTGTTGATCTCCCGCGGACTGCGACGCTGTACTTTGTTTCGGTGTTTGCCTGTTTTGGAATCGTGTCATGCGGTGAATCGCTCGGTATCATGTTCAACACACTCTTCGGCCATACTGGGTTCGCCGTCAACATCATGGGGGTGTTCCTCGCGCTGGCTAACACAATGGCTGGTATTCTCTCCATCGACATGCCAGAGCTCTTCAAAGCGTTCAACTACCTCTCCCCCATTCGGTACGGCACACGAGCTGTAGCACCGTACTCGTTGAGGGATATTAAGTTTACGTGTAATGATGAGCAGAGATTGCAGAATGGAAAGTGTCCGATTGAGACGGGGCAGCAAGTATTGGAGTTGTACAACTTTGATGTTGATCCTGTTGTTAATGTGGCGTGTCTAGCGGCTTGTGTGGTGGTGTACAGGTTACTGGCCTGGGGGTTGTTGAAGATTGCTAGGACGCATTGGAAGGGGAGGAAGAAGAGTGACGAGAGTGTGAAGGGATAGAGAGGATGACTAGTGTTTGAGGACTCTGGATCAGGAGTCGAAATAAAGGAAAAGGTCATTAAAGTTGATCTCAACTGATGATTAGTCGTCCTGACATTACAAAGAAATATACCCAAGACGTTATAACTAAGGATCGATAAATCGCTGTTCACCCAGCAGTACCTCATTTTCCATCATCATAAACACCAACAAGCACCAACTATCTCCGAAATCTTTTCGACTATTTACTATACACTCGGAGCACAGAGAATCACAAAGATGTGTCCCTTTTTTAAGAATCGTCTCTGTCCCAACAACACGTGATATTTTCTGATGCAGAGGCGGGGAATATGGTGTTGTGTTGGTTGTGTTCATTACAACGTTTAAGTTCAACCAACATGCATTTGCATATAACACTCACCAATGACAGTCACCGCCAAGCATGCATGTTCTCAATAAGAATCAGTCCATGTCTGAGATACTTTAATACCTCAACAGAAGCAATTCATTCATGCCAAGATCAAAATGGCTGAGACGAACGAACAACCTGTTGTGGTGCCGGATGAGCAGGTCAGTGAGTACATTGATCTTTTATGAGTAGATCTGACCATGATGGTATAGGAGGGCAATGGGTCCACGCTAGGTGAGGTATGATTGTCAATCTAACCATGGCATGTCTCAGTTGCTAATATGCCTGGCTTTAGGACTCTACATCTACAACAACAAGTGTTTCCGAATCAATCTTCAATTACCGCTGTGAAAACGGCAGAACTTATCATGCATATAAAGACGGCAGTAAGCTGAGCTGTACCCAACATCCCCAGGGTCTTCTAACTCCGCCTATAGAGTATGTCTTGCCGAATGATGAGAGGGAGAATGAAAGATTAGGTATGACCCGGATTCTCGAATGCCTATTGCTTGACTAATTACGTGCTATCAGATCTTCAACATAATCTGTTTCTTCTCACCTTTGGCGATAAGCTTGGCCTTACACCGCCTTGTTACCGAGACAGGAAAGTAAATCATGTCTTGGACCTGGGAACTGGGACGGGAATTTGGGCGATGGACTTTGCAGATGAACATCCTGAAGCAGAGGTACGTTCAGTTCGGACCTACCTTTCCTGGAGAAACTGACGATCTAGGTCATCGGCGTCGACCTCTCACCGATTCAACCAAGTTTGTGAGTTTGCATCCATGCCAGTGCTCGTATGCAAGTGGTCTAACAGCTGTTGTTTAGCATCCCACCTAACGTGACCTTTGAGATTGACGATATTGAAGACGAGTGGACCTACTCAAAGCCATTTGACTATATCCACAGCCGTTTCATGACATCTTGCATAAGCGACTGGAAGAAATACCTCACCCAATGCTTCCAGTACACCCCCTTCCACGTCCCAACTACATCCCATCTAACCAAATCTCAGAAACTTAAGCCCCAACGGTTATCTCGAACTCCAAGAAGCAGACCTCACCATCAAATCCGACGACGACACCGTGAAGCCTGATAACGCGCTCCTCAAGTGTCTCAAGCTTCTCCAAGAGGCATCAGAGCGGTTCGGCCGTCCGTATGTAGATATCCCAGCGCTAGTAGACGTCATGACGGAGACTGGGTTCGTGGATGTCACGATCGAGAGATTCAGGTGGCCGAGCAATTCGTGGCCGAAGGATAAGAAGTACAAGGAGCTGGGGACTTGGTGCTATGAGAACTTTTCGAGTGGGCTTGAAGCTATCACTATGGCGGCGCTGACGAGGGGTCATGGGTGGAGTGTGGAGGATACTACGGTGTTTCTAATGGATGTGAGGAAGACTATGGGGGACAGGAAGATCCATGCCTTTTGGCCGATGTGAGTTGAACCCTCTGGGCAGGTTGTTACATTTCAGGACTAACCAAAGTTTAGTTACTCTATTTACGGGAGGAAGCCGTAATGCAATAGTACGACGAGGGAGCGTTGGTGTTGTGGTACCTGAGAACGTGAGGCTATGCCGAATGATGGTGGCATGCAACGTTAACTCATCTTTCGTTTTGGCCGAAGCTGGCCGTCTATTTTGTGATGCCATTACATTCTTATCGGACAGTTCTTTTTGTGTGACATCGCACACGGCGTTGAAATAGACTTGGTACCTCGTGCAGATCATGCAACCAAAACCTCTAACGTTAACGTTAGTACAGGGGTCCTAGCGTCACGACATCCGATCAACATCTTGGCGTAACCAGGACTAAGCTGAACCTATAACATCACTATTCAAGATTAATGGCGCGCATCATGGGAGAAATTCAGACGTCTCAATTCATCTGCGTAGCTAGTAACTAAGCCAGCGACATGAACCATAAACTCCAATGCTCAAAGATGAGAACCTAACGTTCCAGCAGCAGAGAACAACAGTAACAGAAACAATAACCAGCACTACCCTGTCCCAAATCTTCTTTTCTAGTATCAGGCCAGATCAGCTCTTGCAGAACCAGAGACAGACAACAGGCTTCTCCCCCTTGTTTCCAGTCCTGGACGAGTCCCAGCCAACCTCATCCATAGTCTTGCCGATCTCATCCTTGTCATCACCAGTGAATGAGTATCCCTTGTACCACTTGCCATTTCCTCCACTGTAGAGCTCGAAGCAGATGTTCTTCTTCGCCGAGGGATTGGTGCAGCCAAATCCCTTCAGGAGATCGCCCAGTTTAGTTGATGTCGGAACATGCGAGGCGATGAAGGGAATCTGGGCGTTCGCCTGCAGCTGCCACGGGGGAGTATCGCTCTTGAACACATGAACCTTGGTGTGATTCGCCGGGAAGAAGTAGTTGTACCCGGGTTCGCAACCAACACCACCAGAAGAGTTGGTCATCTGCGCAGCAGGCATCTTTGGATCGATCTGAGGAATGGGCTGCGCCTGGCGAGGAAGGATGTTCCCAGTTCCGTTGGGCTGGTGCGCATACGTCTGCTGGGTCTGAAATCCAGCGATTGGTCCCTGTGGTGGGAATCCGTAAACGGGCTGGCCATATGCAGCTGTGCCGGGATACATATAGCCATACGCGGGGGGAGCTAGACCAAAGTTATACCCGGGACCACCAAGATAAGGAACGTACGGCTGACCCTGCGATGGGATCGGTGCACCAATGGGTGAGTAGTTTGGTCGTGAGCCTGTAGCGTCACGACCATTGATGGGGTTCCAACCAGACATGGTGGTTGATAGTGGTTGGGGAGGGGAGGGGAGTCAGAGAGGTTGCCAGGTATGAACCCAGCGACGAACGTTCGGATCGAAGGATGCTTGCCAGAAGCCAGGGACTTGGCCTTGGGTAGTTGGATCCCAAGTCGGTGGAATAGCGTACGGAGGAGATTGATTCCAATATGGAAAGACTTGGTGGGCTGGAGGTGCTTGATAGTTCAAAGTTTGGTTGTGATGAAAAGATTGTTCTTGGAAGGAAGAGAAGATATCTGAGGAGAGTCAGAATTATGGAAGACACAGGGCCTTATATAGATCATATCGCGCATGAATGTCTGTAGCAAATCTTCAAGGGATCAGTGTTTACCTGGAGAAGCTGCCTCCTCGGTGTAACTCTCCGCCACAGACTCAGTATCACTAGACTCGTCTTCAGAGTCCGAATCGATGTCAAGTCGGCCAGCAAAGATCTCAGTGCTCCAGAGGACGTTATCTTGCCTATCGTAGAATGCCCCAACAATGATCCACGCCCAGAAAGGTGATTCTCGTGATGCTTCAAGATGTTGCGTGATGATCAGTTTGGAAGCGGGATATGGCAGCGGGACGTCCTCAATAGTCCTACAGTGAACCCGGCTTGAGTTGGACATAAGGACGAGTCTGAAAACGAACTGGGGAGAATGATGGACGGCTGTTTGACAGGAACAAGTTTGAGAGACGATGGAGGTGTTTATTTATGCTGCTGAGGGACAGAGATCCGGGCATGATCAACTACACCTCTTGGCGATGAATCAGGTCCAAAGCAGAGGCAGTGTATGCAAGACGTAGAGTTGTTCGTGAGTATATCTTTACAGAGTCACAAGAGTCTTGAGCTGAAAGTGATTCACCAGTCATTACGTCCACCTGGTCATCATTGTGAGGCACGGGTGCTTCTTGAGATGTCTGGGTGAAAAGACGTAAGGAAGCTGCTAGAGTCCGTAAGCTGCGGAACGCCAAGCACGTTAACAGGTCAACCCAGGTGCTGAAGGTGCCATGTCGATCCAGACGAGATCCATGCACGATAATTGCGCCTCTAGGAGGACACTTGGTGGGTTGATTGTATATGAATCGTCTAGTGAGCCGTTCAACTCGGTATGCGACGAGCAACCAGAGCTTCACAATAATGCACATTGTCTGCGTGGCGTGCGCCACAGATGAACCTGCCACACAACTCGGCTGATGCCTGTTACACAATCACTTGACTCGGTCGGTGTTGATTGTCAGCCTGAAAATGGTATTGAATGTTTGGTTGGCCGAGACAACTGTGATTGTTGTATTTGTGCGTGTGATTAGCGGGACATGGTGTGAATGAATGTGGAACACCACTTGCATCGGGCGACAGTTGATGGTAAGCGTATCCGATGAAAGGCAGCTGACGGGCAAAATGCTAACGAGTCAGAGAAATTCCGTTCAACTGCGCGACGCTTTGCTAAATACAGGAAAGTTAGTGAACTTGGCAAAAGATGATAAAAAGCGGATGATGAGTGCAGCGGGGATATTTGGCCCCGAATTGCTTCCCATTTTGCCAAAGCTCCCGAGTCGTTTGACTTCTTCAGGCTCCTCGATACCATTCGGTGTCTTTGTGTCACCCGAAATGGAGGAGGCGGGCAACACTTGTGTTACCGCTGTAAAGCAAAAGATGTGAGAAAACTTGTCTCTCGACCTGTCATGCCGAAAGCTGTGTGTTGACACATGTTGGTATTGGTATCTGGTAATGGTAGGGTCAAAGTGGTGCCGAGATGGCGAGGTTTGATTAGTATCGCAAATGAAGTTTACGTCCACAGAAGCACATAAACATTGTTATCCTCAGTGGCCAAGATCTCGAAGGTTTGAGGTCTGTTTTCTTGTTACATCAATCAACTTCGCAACAGGAGTAACGGTATGTTGGCTTTGCAACTCCCTATGAATAATAGGCAACATGGTGTTTCCAGAGTTATTGCGGATTTTGATGATCCATGTCCTTGATAGTCTGGAGACCTTGCTAGGTGCGTATTCTGATGGTGCAACAGGAAAGCTGCCGCAACCGTAGGGAGGTTCAAATATGGAGAAGGAATCGGATTCAAAGAACTCAATACAGGCTCAGAGGAGTGGATTATTATTCGGTCTTTGGATAATATCAGTGGCGAGGAACCATTGATGAAGACGATGATAGTGGCATATTCCCCGGTACCGAACCGCGTGTGCAGGTGTCCGTCAGATCTCTGTAGGCCCACAGATCGTGCGTGTACACTACTCTGCTGCGGGCGCTGAACAAATGCAAAATTGTGACAGTTTAAAAGAAAATTAGTTAGAACAGAAGAGTTGGGTGGCTTTCTAGATGGGAAATAACTATAGTTTGGAATTTCCCTGTCATCTGCTTGCTACCCCTGTCCTCGGTACCAGCTCCCTTCATTCTGAGAGTTGCCTTCCCAGTCTAGTGCAACATCTGCCGGTGCCAAGCAGACGGCGATGAGCCACTGGTATAGCGAGGCTTTGCGCGTTACACAAAGCTCGGTCTTGTACTCTCAGTGGCTCCCCACTCCACTCCGACGTTATTCTTAACCTTCCCTGAACATCGCAACTCTCCTCTCTTCTCTGCCTCACACAACCATCTCTTACATAACGGCACTCAGTTCTTGCATTTTACTCTCTTTCCTCCCCTTGCATGGTCTTGACGTTATTCCTTTGCTGCATAAGAGTGAATTGCCCTTATACATCAGACGACTCTGAGTAATCTGAACCATATTTTGCGAACCTCACTTCTCACGGAGCCGCACTGCCCTCTATTGAGGCATAAGAACTGTGGCGTTGTCTACAATAAACCTCATCTCTCCGATAGCCCGAGTTCCCAGTCCTCAGTAAACAGAGTCCGTCATATCTCAACAACCAGCCACGATGCCGATCCCCTCAAGAATTGGGATTTCATGCCTGGGAGGAAAGGAATAGCGAAAAGATTCTCGACGCCCAAAGCCGGGACGCTGAGTGGGATGCCCATAGCAAGCTCATCAAACACGCATGGCCAGACCCTGACGACCGCAGAAAATACCTGGAATGGTCACACACCTGGAACGGACGTATTTTCGTCAGAAACAAGTATATTATGAACACTGAAGACTATATTGAGATGATCTCTCAAACCGACTTTCTAGATATGGACAAAGTCAATAGGCTTTCTCTCAATATCTCTATCTATCCGAAGCCTTTTGTTGCCATTGGCGAGACAACCTTTGGACATGTATTCAGCGGTTATGCTTTCACGCCCATGACCGACTCCCTTGAGCCAAAGTACCCTGACTCTGATTCCGATGTCTTGGGAAACACGATACTCGCCTTGAACATTCCTCTTCCGTAGTCCCCTCCTTTGTCTCCTGGATCTTTTGTTCACTTATCCGACACCGACAGTGATTCAAACACGTCTGTGAGCACGGAACTTTCACACTCGTTTCCGAGCTCCACTGCCAGTCAGCCGCAGTCTCCTGTCTGTGCAGAGAGCTGCGACATCAGCCGAGATAACACGCCTGACTCTGCTGCGTCCATTGGCGATTTACAAGCACTGTCGGGCGTACGCTTGGGCTTCAGCAATAGCCCCTCGTCTTTCAACGCTATCCATAGAAAAGGAGGCCACCTCATGGCCTCTGCAACGGGAGATGTGCACGCAAATACATTCGACTCTGGTCCTCAGGATTTCGTCTTCGCTCAGTTAGGATTGTTCTGGACCTTTACTGGGGACTGGAAGAAAGCTCGTCAGGGCAATCCCAATGACGACAAACGGGGACGATGGAACCCAAATGGCTTTGCAGTGGTGGTGCGACTCAGCCCCAAAGGCGAGCTTGGTAAAGTCTATGCTCTCCGCCATCCCGACGTGGTACCTCAACTAGAGAGGATTGAGGATGACCTTATCGAAAGCCGAAAGCCGAAGGCGAACAAAAAGACAACCCACAAGCGAGGATTCATCCTCCAGCACTACAAGCCCGGGCATCCCCACCCGAAGAGTGATTCTTCTTTCTCTATTGCCAAGATTGCCAATAGCATCCTGGAGCTAGGATCCTATAAGAGCCAGTTTGATTTTCAGGTTCTCCTGTCTAACGAGCCCCAGATCGTCAATGCAAAGATGTGGGTTTACGGACTGGATGGACCTGCGCTTATGCCTGTATGTGAGCCGGATGAGATTGACATCTGAGGCAGAATGGGTTAGTGGACAAAGGATTCATGGCTGGAGGATGTTGGAAAATGTCTGGATTTGGCTGTTGAGGGTTTTTACCACGAGTGTAAAGCTAGATGCTCTAGTATTGCATTTACGTCTTGCGTATGATGTAGGACAGTCATCCCGTGGATAGAGACTTAAATAAAGTGTTTAGCAAGTCTACTGCTCAAAGGTGAGGCTACTCGCAGATCAAGAGGTTAGAGTACCGAAACTCAGCAAGTAGATGGCCAATTACCATCAGGGGGAGGTCTCTCCGCTGAGATTGGCCTCCGACAGGGTATCCAGGAGCAAGGGCATAAGATTCTTCCAGGAGATCGAAGGTTTGGAGAACATACTTCTCAAAAAGGAGAGAATAACTCAACTTTGACGACAGCTTCAGGACACCCAGGAAGTAAAAAGGGAAAGGCCTCACGGTCAAACATGGCACAAGCATATTTTCCGAGGTACAGCAAGCCATTAGTACGGGAGTCTCTACCTAGCCAAGATAGGATCACGCAAAAAGTCGAAAACCACTTCATCTTCTAGGGCAGATCATCTAATGTCACCTGCTCAAACCTACGTATTTGCAGGTCTTGAAGAGGGCTCCCCAGGAGGGACGGTATCCGCAACTTGGGACTCTTCTCCATTAAGCCTTTCCATAACGCAATAATAGGAAGCTACCATCTCAGCACAAGAATGCGGATTGTATATGAGTTTCTAAATTTTAAACTCATTGCTTTCTTCAACAATATTCTTCTCGAGTTCTTCGGCGGTCATGCCTTCATCATATCCAAGGGATATTTTACATCCATAGCAACATGGCACGGATATGATCATATTCTTGTCCTTGAAAGCACATCCAACATGATTACCAACTGCTCGTAGAGGGTTTAGCAGTTCTTTCAAGGCTGGGAGCGCCGAAATTATGTTAGGGATTGCAGTGCCCTCAAGGGTGAACTTGGAGACGGCCTCTCGAACAACACGTGTCTCCAGGCCAGCCTCATTAGCCTCGTCATCTAACTTCTGGAGATTCTGGTAAAACTCTCGCCAAGCTGCAATATTTGCTGCACCTGTGTAGTTATTTCGTGCCGCTGTACGGATTGCGTTGAACTCCGGTCATGAATCTAGGCGTCCCTTGGAAATAAAGGTGAAATCAAGGCTACGTTGGTCGATCAATGCTTGCAGGGCAAAGTTAAAGGGATGGATTGATGACATCTCCCTGTTTTCATTCACTCCCTAATTGCTTGTTCGTTTGTCTGTCTTTTGTTGACTTGCTTGTGGCTTGTCGACCTGTTTGTTGTTTACTAACTTGTATGCTATTTGTCTGGACGCTTTCCTCTTGATCAGCCGCATGTGATGTCACTGATAGGAGGGAATGGTAGCTGATGAGGCTCATTGACAGCGTACATGTAGTTACACTCCGTGTGTGGGACACGTTGAAGTCAAAAGGAGCCGCTACCTTGATTTTCATCCTAGAGGCAGATATAAAAACCTTGAGCAACTTTCGTCTACGGTTCAGGGCAAAAATCATCATTTTTATCGATTGTCAGTACGATGAAAGGCCATGATTTACCATAAATCGAGGTTTCTTTAGCATATAGGAACCGCTGACCTAGATCTATATAGGTGGCGCCATATTGATACTTCTGAAGAATGGCGGCGGTGATGGTCAGTTAATGTTTGGAGAATGGATCAAGGTAGGAGATGGATGGGTAGAAGATGTTGTCGGTAGTTACCGACGCGTGAGGCTTGTTTCGGTCGGGAATAGCAGACTTATGATTCGCAAGGGCTACTCTATTCTAAATCCATCCCAAGTTGTCTAGATCTCTACTCATGATAGTCTCAAATTAGATGCTCTTCCTGATTTGGTTCATGGGAATATCGCCGACATTAGACGGTGGTCATATTCACACTGCAAGGACTATAGAACAGCAGAACAAAGAGTCACAATCATGGAAGAGATGATATGGCATGAAGGGAGATTTCCGAGTGCTTCCCAGTTTGCTGATGCTAGTAAGCGAGTTTGACCTCTTCAGCCTCCGCGTTGCCAGATGTTGGAGAAGTAAGCATGTTGCTTATTGTTTGTTGATAGTCGCAAAGACATTTGGCTTTTTATTCCAATTGCAAAAGTTATCTTCCAACAAAGCGGGCCCATTTCCTTGAGAGGCAAGTTTCCCAATATATTTTGCTCCAAAACCGTAACAAAGGCTTTGTCCATTCCATTCTCCCTGATAGTACGAAGGTACCAAGGTTTGATGGCTTGCAACATTGAAGACAATGCAGCCTGCTTGCAATACAAACCATCCAAACAAACCTTCTCATGTTTTGCATAAAGCAGGCTGTATTGTTGACAAGAATTGCTAGCAACGGAGCCACTTCAAACATTGTGATGAAGCTTGGCTGTGTGTGACTGGAAACAATTTATGAAGAAGGGTGAGTAAGCAGGTCCCAACTTCCACTATAAATTGCAGTCTTCTTCCTCCCAACCTCTTTTACTTCTTCTGTCAACTTTCACTTCTACTATAACTATATATACACTCTCTCTTGGGCCTACACATTCACAACCACGGAAGTCATACGGGGGTTTCTTGGACACCGTATTGCTCTGGTAAAGACCCTCAACCAAGGAGGTTTGGTGCACAAGGAGACCACTCTTCTGTCCCTTGATGTCAGGCCTGCAGCTCTGAGGGGGTTCGAGAATTACCTCGGCCTACCTACCCTTCTATGTGCTCCTGGGTCCCAGCAAGTCCAGTGGCTGCTGCTATGGTTACCCAACCCTCCATCACCCACATGGAGTCCATGACCGAAGGTCGAAGCGACGACTAAAATAATTATCGACAGCACAAGATTCGAACACTTTGATGAGCCATGGTCATGTTCCCACTCAGTCACTTGAAAGAAAACATGCCAGCTACTCTCCTAAGCATATCAATCCCTATCACCATCTCACCACTTGGATGGTAGAAACTTCAGCAACATCTCCACAACGTTGGCAACTATGTTGAATGGCCTTCATTGGTATTCTCAGCATGATAAACAATCGGACATGTTACGGTCGATGTGGCAAGGCAGAACACATACATTTTCTGCTGACATTGAGGGCAGTCGCTATTTCTGTATAGAAAGTCTCAACTGCGAGGCAGTTATAGCATCTTATTTCCTACAATCCCTTTAAACTTGACTTCTCGCTCTCTTTACATACTCCAAAAGCCTATCAGCCTTTGATCGAATCCGTTGGCTTCAGTTACAAGCCACGGTTGCCTTCTGTCACAACACTTATCAACCCAACTGGTTGCTTGACCACCAGAGTATTACTTCTACGACATATACAGGAGCCTTTCAAAGAGGATCAATATATACCTACATATATATATATATATAAATATTATCAGATGATAACACCGCCATCGCAGATATATTTATATATTATATAAGCGAAAGATTTCCAAGTCAACAACAAGATTTCCAAGTCAACCCACTGTGAACAACAACCGGCGTAAGGGCGTACGTCACTTGAACGTTGCGAAGAAAAACAAGGTAGCCAATGTCTGCACCCAGGCCAAGGAATCGGGGAGGGATGGGTCATCTACGGATCAACCCGATGCTGCTGATGACGAGGAGCCTGATGACGAGGAGTCATCGCTCTTCCGTGGCAACCCGGAGAAGCAGAAGCATATGAAGCAGCTTGAAGCCTTTAGCGAGACTCTTGCAAAATTCACTACCATATCTGAACTATTTGTCAACTGACTGGTTCCACAAATTGTCCGGCTCGGGATCAGACTCTAAGAACTCGATCACGTTTCAGCTTTCAGCCGCCAAGGTCAGCGGCAGATGGACTGCCTTTACCTTCGATGAGGACGGCGGAGACAACGAAGACGGTAACGATAATGGCACCAACAAGGAAGACGTCGCCAGCTCTCCCGGCCTTGAGTTTGCTCTCGGACGCATCACAGTCCCTGCCACTCTTTTGACAGAACAAGCTGACCAATGCTGCCCCTTCTACACTCGTGGTCTGGGAGCAACTCATGATTCCTCTTGGCAACACTGGGGACCTGATTGGCCTTGGTTTATATACAAAATCGACGTTCTTCAGGCTGTGCGATGTCATCAAGGATGCAAAGACTCAATCTGTTTGGTTCGATGCTCGCAACTCGACTCCCAACAAGAAACACACACGTGGGCATGACCGAGCAAGAGTACTGGAATCACTCCAAAGGACTACTCGATCAATTTGGCAGAGTCTCCCAGCCCTGGGCCTCCCCGTCACTGAAGACGCGTGCGAAGAGCACGCTGTGCCTCTGTGCTCTCTATCCCATCCTCCAAATAACCTGACTTGAGAGAATTCCGTTTCTTCGATCCGTATGCTAGAAGCATCGAGTAAGCAATCTTAGCTTGTCGCTTTGGTGACTTCTTGAGTCGCATGGAGCTCCGAGGGATGCGTTTGAGCATACAGGACTGTCCTCTAGTATATACGTAGACCGGTTCAAGCCCAGCGGCTGCTGTTATGCTTGCAAAGCCACTGTTCGCTACATCGAAGCGATGACAGCCAAAGTACCAAGTTATTATATCATTGACACAACCAAATCTACAAAGTTCGATCACCGTGTTGAGGCTTGGTCCTGTGCCGAGGTCTTATCGTCACGGTACTGTGAGAATGCAGAAGCGCGGGAAATCAAGCAGAAGAAATTTGCTGTTCTTTACCTTTGTGGCCTTGAGGCTGAAGACTCATTTGACCCCTCAACCCTATCACAGAACACAAGAAATCCGATGGTCGCTGCAATGAACTCCGGCAATTCTCTGTGTACCAAGGTCGTCGGTCTGCAGCCTCCCGTGACTTCGAGCGAGACATCATTCCCATGTGTCAAGGGGATGACAGTGGTGGGCCATCAGGCACCGCCAGGGGATGAACTACTTGGCAGCAGCTTTTCACATTCAATATAGTCACTATAAGAGTTCAAAGACCTTCCGGAAGTCTCGCTAGATGATGTTGAGTTAAAAATCGAGCCAACAGCCCTGGTCTCTTTCAGAGGACTGCCACCTTCGCAGCATGAAGGAGGCCGGCGAGATCTGGGCCTTCATCTCAGGATCTCTCTGCAAGACAAAGGGCAATATCTAAGCTTACTGGAAGATACTCCGGAGTCAGTTATATGCTAAAGATACTATTAAAGATACTGGTATTGATACTGATAATACCACTAAGGAGGGGTCTATTGATAATATTACTGAGTTTAAAGTCAGATCACATCGATAGGCCCATATACCCTACGCATCACCACCCACAGCCCAATGCCCCCCTGGTGGTAGGGGAAAGATTGTGTAGCGTGTAGTTGCATCCAGTCTCTATATCACATTTACTGAAGGCACCAGACCTTACCCAATCAGACTGAAATCATCAGTCTCAGTCTTTGACACTGGAGTAACCTCTTGGTATACTGCTCTTGCCCTTGAGTCTTGACAGGCCACCAATTTTAACAAGTCTACTCTAAGCTTATCATAACTCTTTAAAGTTCATCCTTACAACGATCTAAAATTATTGTTTCTATATTGTCAAAGGACCGGTGATATAATCCCTGTTGGAAGTGGAGGCCCCTTATGGTTATGTGTGTGTTGACGTATATTGGTGTTAGTATCTGGTTATGGGTATTTTGATACCTGTTGGTGATGGTGTTGGTGTTGATATCTGGTAATGATACAGTGGGAGTTCATAAGTATAGATACCCTTCAATATACTTACACACATATGTCGATCTAAAAGTGCTAAGTTCATTTATAATCCTGGCTAGGGGTTTATCAGTAGAAGAGACAGCGATACCTAAGGTATCTATGAATAGAAGAGTAGCCCACAAGCCGAAGTCTAGTCCCTGGCCCATGCCTTGTCAGAAGGTCTCAAAATAAAAGTGGCAAAGACTATCCTAAATGTATACTAAATTTATCGCTAAATTGCACTGAGTTGTATAAGTCTTTTTGTTACTTGAGATTGAGGTCCTGAGTTTTCTTGCTGGGGAGGCCTTGTTGTCAATGTCGCACTAAGCTCGGGAGCTAATAGCGTCAAGCGGGATAACTTCGAACCGGGCTGATCCTTCAAAGGATTATGCTTAAAAGATGGAAATTCGTTTACAGATGACGACGACCCCATATGGGGTAAAGGTAACGGTAAGATAGGTCTTGGCTAATACTACGTTTATGAAACCGTAAATCGTTGATCAGCGGATGGGGAGCGTTGTTTTCGGGGCCGAGACCAATAAGGGATGTTTGATGTACGAGTAATGGGAGTTGGGGGTTGTGGATAGCATCCACTGAGAACTGCACATGACTACGGTAGATGTGCTGATAGACAAAGCACTCCACTGCCGTCTTATGCGCCATGAAACGTGCTCACCGTTGAAGTGTGCATTGATGAAGCTTTTGTTGGTGCAGTCATGTCATACACGCACGCATCACCAGCTTCAACTTCAAAGAGGCTATTTACTACAATATTCTCAAACAATCCGATGATCCCTCCAGTCCAAATAACCGTTATCATGCCTAAAATGCCTTCGCACTCGCATTCCTTCAACATCAAGCCGTCATTAAACTGACGTACTCACCATCCCACCTCGAAAGGCCTTCCCAAAAACAACTTAGACAGCTCGAAAGCGTTCCCCCAAAAGGCTTAGCGCTACAGGGGTGTCATCCTAGCTTCCGAGACTCAATTTACTGGATCTGATAGCGCTCGGGGGTTCTGATTGGTCGAGAGTTCGGATTCGCTTGTCACAGGGCTGAGGCGCTTGGCGTGGTGATGGATTTGGGTAGCCATTCGAGGGTGGTAGGTAACTTAACCATTACACGCGGTGTTGAGACCATTTGAGTTGATTTGACTACTCAAGGTCCCACTGACGTGCAGGGCCAAATGGATGAGGTGAGATGTATAAAGTAAAACAATCCTCCGACTCTAAAAGGCTATTCCACTCCTGGCCGACTTCCATCAACCTTATCTCTGCTCTTCACCCCTCACCTCTCTGTCTACCTTACGCCTCTGCCTCTCAACATCAACAAATCAATCATGTCGCAAGCACTACCACACAACTTGGTCGTCTTTGGCCCCGACGCAAACTGCACTCTCGATCTCTGCCCCGTAGAATGGAGCGTCTACAAATACCGACCTTCGCTCGCCGCCAACATCACATTCATCGTCCTCTACGCCATCGCCATGGGGACACATCTCGTTTTGGGCATCAAGTGGAAGCAGTGGTTTTACATGAGCTTCATGATGATTGGGTGTTTGTTTGAGATTATCGGATACATTGGAAGGATTATCATGTATAACAATCCCTTCAACTTTGGGGGATTCATGGTGCAGATTGTGTTTATCACGAGTGGCCCTGTCTTCTACACAGCTGCTATTTACGTGACACTTTCCAAGACGTAAGTCCTCTTGCTCCAATATCACAGCGTTACTGACAGTTTAGTATCAAATACTTTGCCCCAGAAGTCTCACGCTTCAGACCCGAACTCGTCTGGTGGATCTTTATCCCCGCTGATGTCGTCTGTCTCGTCCTCCAAGCCGCAGGCGGCGCACTCTCAACAGTCAGCCAGGGCTCCAGCCAAACCGGTATCGACATCGCCTTGGCCGGTCTATCCCTCCAAGTCGTCATCCTCGTTCTCTTCTGCGCTCTTCTCGGCGACTATCTCTGGCGATACTTTCGTAGTGGAAATGCCAGCGCCATGGGGAGACGTATGAGAATCTTCTTCGGATTCTTAAGCGCTGCCGTTGTTCTCATTCTCGCGCGTTGTGCATTCCGATGCTATGAGTTGAGCAAGGGGTATCGAAACTCAGACCTCATCACGGATGAGGGGTTGTTCATTGGTCTCGAGGGAGTGTAAGGTGTAAGAGCCTCTGTTGATGATACTTACTAACTCTGGTCAGGCTTATTATTATTGCGGTGTTCTTCTTGTGCATCAGCCACCCTGGTCCTGTGTTCAACGATGCGATGACGACGGTGCCGGGTACGTCGCAGAGCGATGCCGATGCCGAGAAGTGAGGTTGAAGGAAAAGTACTTGATCTTTTGCGATATCGATATCAAGAGGGCATCTGTGTTTTCTTTGCGAAGGATTAGAATAGAAAGGACTGTTGGATAGAAACATGCAAGAATAAATGACTTTCAGATCCAGCACATGTTGAACTAGTGACTCGTCATAGAATGCTCTGTTGAATGGACCAGAACAGAGATCCGTGGTGAACACTGGCCAGATTGGACAATACTACTTCACAAACACATCGCAGTTCTGGAGAACTTTTATTTTGCAACCCATGTTACAGGCCTCCTCACCTGTAGTCCAGAGCTCTTTGTCGGGGGCTACATATTGGCTCTGATGAGGGGAGGTTCAACGGCAGTGCTCGCTTCTGAAGACTGGGTCCTTTACGTCGTCACAACAATCACAGTCACAAGCAACATCTTACAGTTTAGCATCGAGTTTCGGACGAAAGGAGTTCACATTCTCTCTAGCTAGCGGGCCTAAGCCACCGCTGATCAAAAGTCTAGCTCAACAGAGCGACTACATATCAAAACAAAACATTATTCTCGAGCCCATAGACAGGGTGAACATCGAGTCAACCACCATTTCTTCCTTTCGTATCCATCAACCTTCGCCCTGGTCCGTTCATCATTCCGATCCCGATGCAACCCCAGTGATCTTGTCACGATTACTTGGAATCACAGTTGCACCAGCAGTTCTTTTCACAGTCAGGGTTCCATCCGCGACGACGGAACAGACCGTTGTCATCGCAGGTGTAGCCCCAGGGGCGGTAGTAGCACTTCTGGTACCAGAAGGCGCACTGGATGTTGCAAGAGGCCAAGTTCTCACCCTTGGCGACGAAGGCGTCGGGGGTAGCGACGGGAGTAGTAACCTCGACAGGTGTGGTGGTCTCGGTGATGAGGGTAGCGGCCTCAGCGGGAATAGTAGCCTCAGTGGTGAGGGTGGCAGTCTCAGTGGGAGTGCGGACAACTCCAGCGGTGACGAGGCCGAGAAGGAAGAGAACTGAGATGGTCAGAGAGGTCATGGTGTTGGGGGTGGTGGTGGTGGTGGACTTACGAAAACCGATGAGCTTCATGATGATAGATGCCTCTGAGGGAAGAGATGACCGAGTTAGGTAGATAGTGTTTGTTGTTTGTTGTTGTAGTTGAGTGAGGTTGTTCTAATGCGATGTCAGGTGTGAAAAGGTTGAAGGGTAAGGATGAAAAATTTGGGATAGAGGGAGAAGCTCGTAGCTTTATAGCTCTGTGAAATTGCCACTGCTCCTGAGATTGGTTCTAACAATCGCAGCTGTTCAGCGATGATTCACTCTGAATAGCCTCCATTATGGCCTTAGTTCAACTAATAACTCCATTGATTGGCCATGCATGGGTCGCGGTTCGGCTGCCACTGTGCCGGGCAGTGTGGTTCATAGCTCACAGCTGCCAGTGACAGAAGAATGAATGGAACTTCGCCATTGGTCTCTTGACGGGAGTGTGCAAGTGTATCATCAGTGTCCAAGATGAAGAGGGGGACTGTTCATGATCCGGACATAGGGGAGAGATGAAATGGGATGGAGCAGAACAACTACCACAATACGAACTCAAGAAACGTTGCGCAAATCCCGGCGATATTTGTGATATATCATTCCCTCCGAATTTCTATCGTCTCAGGACACTGATATATGCGACGATCACACTCGCGAGTTCATTTTCTGAAGCAGGGTGGTTGTGTGTCTCGCAATCCTCAATGATAAGTTAGGCTTTCCCGTTGAAGCCTAAGCCTTGGCTAGTCTACAAGTCTGGATCAACAGCAACACGTCGTACTGCCGTTAGAATATTCTTGCTTGATTCGAGGAAAGCCTCTTGAGGAAGGACAGTCGGTACTCAGCGTCTATCTCTCCAAGCATGAGAGTGGGATCTGCCTGCTGGGCTGACTTTTCTCCTCTATCAATGAACTTCAAGGAAAGGAAGTGACATGACATTCATCCGGCATCATTTAATCCTATTCTATCTCACAATTTTAGGAGATAAAGGTTTATTCGCTATGGTCTATTGACTCTTTTCACTGCAAGCTAGGTATAGAGCTTCAACATTCGGGGAGGCAGGAAAGCGTAGGATTTCTTCTCTAAGTGAGAAAAGTATTTGGCTAAGTATGCATGTCTTATTATACCTTTTGGCCAATTGATTCTGAGATAGAAAAAAAGCAGCTAATCTTAATAGCGGTCGCCAATGGGGAATAAGAAACTTCTGACTTGAAGCTCAACCAGATTTACTTCTGTTGTTGATAATATACCGGTATAAGCCGCTTATCATATGCTCTAGAGGTAATAAAGGAAGTGCCTAGTTGTATAGAATGTGGAATTGATTCATTGGGTATCATAAATATTTTCATTGTCTTTAAACTAGCTAGCTGTCTCCTTCACCTGCTCCCTAAGCTCTGGTCTAACTCACACATCATGATCCGATTCCTTCACGGGCTATATTCATCGATCGCACTGGTAGCATGTCACGCCAACGAATGTTTAGGAGCTTGAAAGGCTGCAGTATGTACTGCTCGAGCGCTGAACCAGATACCACAAACATTTCTGCGAAGCTCGTCACGGCAAATTTGGCAAGGTACTGATGGAGAGTCCGAATTTGCTAAACCATCAGAAACCTCAATGATATCATCAAGCGAGCCTGTAAGTTTGGAGTTGCTACGTAGGGAAAGAAAAGACTCCATGTTATACTGAACGGCAAAAATATCCCTTTTCAGAGGTTGTAACCTACCAGTCATGTAATAAACCTCCGGGTGGTTGTGTAATGAGACAACGGCCCGCCTTCATGTGACAAGCCGTGATATAATTTTGTATGCTTAATCGATGGTAACATTATCCCACGTGCCTTGCCACTGAAACCGGCTCGGGGAAGACAACACATTTTCCCGCATGTGGTGTGTGACCGTGAAAATGGTATAACACCAGGTCCCTTTAAGTATTCGTGCCACAAATCTTTACTACCTCGCGTTTGTAGCCTCTAAAAACCATAGCACAACTGGAGGTATGCAAACTTCGCGAAAGTGCACCATTGATTGATTCACTATTCACGGGCGCCTGGAAACACAACCTTCCCAGGCTTCCATTGGGTTAACGTGACATGAAAGCTCGGCGTGCTTGTGCCTATTGTCAAACCTCTTGGTCACGAATATTTTCTATCAACGGGAGTTCAAACAGTAATGGACCTTGCCTGATGGTCTGTTCATTCGACATATACCAGAGAACCCATATCCGTTCATTACAGATAATGGAAATCCTTAGATACAATTGGTGTTGAGCGTCTCATTGTTTCAGTGGCAAATCTCCTGGTAGAGTGAGAAAGGAAGTATAATGCTCCTCAAACATCGCAATTCTCTCTAATAGGGCTTTCACGATGATAATCCCGCAGAAGTCGGACAGCGACGGCTGTGAGACGTATTACGGCCGATAATAGCGAGCAAAGCTTCGCTACGCGCCACCGAATTCATTCGTTTGCTAAATCTGCCACTTGATTCTGTGATAGCGCAACATTTGCGCTGCAATACTCACAGCAAGACTAGGGAAGCAAAGTTTTTGGAAGTTTTCACAAACGAAATACCTATTGGGAAACTGGAATCTTAATGAAAGATTGACAACAGTATCACATACCGAAGCCTGTTATGTAAGGCCGAGATATATTCATGTCCTTCACCATAGACAAATGATAGAGAAGATACGAGGCCGAGTTTGTGTAAAATCACCATTGAGATGCAGTTACTGTACAACATATAGTCCGGGAAGGACCGATAGAGATTGAGAGGCAATGTAGCCACCACGCAAGTCATGTTACTCATCTGTCGGCGGCTGGGTATCTTCACAGTAGCCGTTGTCCAGTGAAACAAAGGACTTAGCGACAGGCATAGTTGCTCATCGTAACGAGCAAGCGAAGGAAGAAGTGAAGCCCTTGATCATCCGGACGCTCAAACAATCGAGGGGGTTCTCAGCAGACCATAGTGACCAACATCAAGATTACTCCGGTCATATAAGGCCTATGTCATGCTGCCTTCTATTATTTGATACCAATGCAAAGAATTCGATACCAACAACTTCCCCTTTCTCTGATTCAACTTTGGTCTAGCTTGTAGTAGGTCATACACAGTGGCACTATTCAAGAGTGATCTTAATCGGTTGACTTTGATGTAGGTTATCCCAGACACTGTACATCTAAGCTTAGGACAATTGTCCTAAGTGAAGAAAATACTTAGGTAAGTTTAGTATATTTTCTACAAGTTTTATCATCCACAGGCTGATACTGGTATCCTCAAGCAGTCATGTGTGAACAGTCTGGCTATAAGGTACCTGTGGTAGACGGTCGGTACTATGTGGCTCAATGGCCTGCTATTCAAACACTAAGGGGACCCGTCAATATTCGTGGTTGCAACTATTTCACAAAAGCCTTGGCTACCGTCCTCCGTCTGCTTCATGATGCAAAGGCTGAAGCAGTTGCTTTCCAAAAGACGAGTTGCTGGACTGATATGACTGATTGCTGGAAGCCCTTTGGATGTAAAGACTTTCTGTCAATGTTGTCGCACACAGCTTCCTTGAGCTTGAATGTGGTTTACAAGTTCCAGCAGTCACCGGATTACCTAGAGGCTGAAGCCTGGCTGGATCTGGAGAACCCCTTGTTAGGAACGAAAGGGACACCACACACCCTGCATGATCTGGCCAGAACGGTCCGAGAAACAGCAGTCTCCATGCAAAATCGTGTCAGAAGCCTGACTGAATCTGTTTGGGAAAAGGAAGGTGGTGTCCCAACTAAAAAGGAAAAGGAAAAGGGTAAGAGCAAGAATGCTGATGAGGCTGGGAAAGAGAAGCCCACTGTCCCTACCATAGTTCCGACGGTCGATCTTCGCTGCATCCGCTTGTGGTGTGTCTTGAACACCAAGGAGAGGCGCAAAGAAATCGAAAACCCCAAAAACGACAAGCTCAAAATTCAAGAAATCCTTAGTAAGTTGTCACAATCATACTTAGACCTTACATCCGCTAACTCATGACCAGACGCCATAGAGGAGGACATTGAAGCGTCGTACGAAGAAGCCGGTTTCAGCTTCACCGCAGTAGAAACAAAAACCCTTCAGCTGACACCGGAAACCGAGAAAAGAAAGCAAAACCTACTCGATGACAACGTTCCAATGATCTACAGCATCTGCATAGGTCTATGTTGGAAAGATAATAAACCCCAGATCCTCCACGACTCGACCACTATTGGGCCTACACGAGAACGCATAAGCTCTTTACCTCCGTACAACGAAGACCGATTGAGAGCACGCAACCTTCACGTTGGCGACGCCGACATGAAGGATTGGACAAAGGATTTGCAATGTCTCTCTAAAATTGACGAGGCCGATAAGGGAATCGAGGTTACCGATGAAAAGCTCGCGTCCTACACGAAGAATCCTGAGTTGAAGAAGAAACTCCAGATCAGAACCAAACAAGACGTCATTCAAATGCAGGGCCGGGTCTATTTGGCTACCCATGCTATCAATAGGCCCGATGCGCAAGAGCCTCCTGCTCCTCAAAAGCTGCAAGCACTTAGCTTATGGAAAAAGGGGCCTCGTAGAGACTGCTCCGAGCACATTAGCCGACCCTTCCTCATCGCGAAGAATGGGGAGATCAAAGGAATTGGTGGCTGTTGGATGTGCAAAGTGCTTCTCAGATACAGGGAGCCATTGAACGACACCGAACTGCATGATGGTTTGAAGGAGAGCGCCGCCAAAAAAGACTTCTTCAATAAGCGCAAGGAGATACCCCATTCTTGTGCGGAAGTTCTTTGCTCCAAGTATTGTCATATTATGGCAAAAGACATGCAGGCGAGGAACGAGGCGAAAGCGATAGAGGAGAAGAAGAAGAAGGAGGAGGAGGAGGAGAAGAGGAGGAGGATGGCAGGGAATCGGGGCAGGGGCAGGTACAGTGAGATTGCTCGCAGATGATGGTGAGTGAATGAGGACTTCAGATGGAGGAAAAGGATAAGTACTATCTTGAGAAAAGGGGAAAAGAAAAAAAAAGGGGAAAAGATAAAAGACAAAAAAAGGTTATAACTTATGTATTCCTCTTAGAGGAAAAAAAAAGATAAAAACTAGATACAAAACTTCAATAAAAATGGGCGCTATGGGAGGAAATCCTGATTGATTCTCCGTGATGTTAGACGCAACTGGTCTAAAGGCTTCCTTAATTCACCTAAACTCATACAATTCTCTTGATCACTTAGAATAGAGGCACTAAGCTTAGAAATCCTAAGCTTTCATGCCTCCTCCGAAATTTTGAAGTTCTACCGGTCGCTTGTGGCTGGCTTGAATCTCATCCGAGCCAAAACGTCGCCGATTTAAAGTCGTCTAATGCTCAACCCTCAGGGTAAAATATCAGCCTCGCGCTCAATGTCCTCCTTACTGGGACACCACCTATCCTGCAACTCTTTGTCCGTCGAATTTTCAATAACACTCTTCTCCCACCACTCACCCCAACTCGTCAAGAAGATCCGATCACGATCCTCAGGGAAGTCACTTCGCGTCATAGCCGCAAGGACACTTTGTGCACCTATCACACAATCAGTTACACGTCCCAGCACAATGGCACACGGCCTACCCTCGGGGATTGACTTCGCGTCAGCCATGTCAGCTTTGATGCCCATACGGTTCGCGAGACCTGTCCCAGGGATGAGACCTGGTGAAACAGCTACCACGTCGTTGGTACCGGCGAGTTGACGGCGCCACCACTGTGCGCCTAAAAGGCCGGTGAATTTGGTGTTGCAGTATGTCGTGCTGGCGGAGGCACCAGATCCGGCTTCGAGTTCCGTGTCAAGTACACCTGTGGGAGGTCAGAACGTGAGACTTGAGCTTGGGTGTTTTGACTTACTGGGATCAGAGACTCGTCGAATAGCGCCGGACGAAACAAACACGATCCTCGACTTGGACTCGACCAACTTCTCCCTCAAGAGATGGACGAGATAATGCTGCGCTACGATCAATCAGTACCTCATATCCTACTCAACTCATCGAACGAACTCACAGAGATGATTTACAACATGGGATTCACACCACTTCGACCCATGCGGTCCCGGGCCCTCCGCAGCGACACCTCCCAGTCCAGCATTGAGCAGCAAGTAATCAATCTTCTCTTTGCCAATCTTATCAAGCGTCTGTTCCGCAAAAGACTTTACGCCCTTCAAATCATTCAACTCCAGTGGAAGAACAGTGACTCCATGAGATTCACGGTCGAACTTAAGCTCATCGTAAGCTTTCTGTGCATTTTTAGTGTTGCGAGCGCCGAGGATGACTCTGTATGGTTGGCTCTGGCTGAGGAGCTGTTTGATTGCTTCGAAGCCCTGTAGATGTCAGGGTCTGTCTTACAAAGCGCTGGGGCTTGAGGGCTTACGATGCCGGATGAAACGCCGGTTGCTACGATTGTTTTCGCGAGGGAAGACATTTCGGCTTGTAAATTGAGAATAAGTTGGATGAATTGCTTGTAAGTATTGGGTGCTTACGGGTTGTTATTAAGGGAGGGTTTGGCGGGGTTATCGGACATAGGTGACGTAAACACTGCAGACTTCACTTCAACCTTGGGCAGATTGTGTAAGCGGACAAGACAATGCACAGGGTTCCCAGCGAAAACTGGTCTTAAATCTGATGTAATGAAAATATAATTATTAATTTTCTATTAAACTTTTCAACTTCCATCTCTCTGCAGCCTTCGTTACGTCTTCATGCGTTATCATCTCGGAATTGGCCCAAGGCCTAACCTGTAAAACTGTCAGCTTCATCACATCACAATCTAGAGCTTCACTTACTCGGCTTTCTTCCACCTAGAGATAGTCCTCCTCGGAATCTGAAACTTTTTCTCCGCATCCACCGCAGTAGGCCGCACCTTTTTCCCCCTCCGCTTAACTAAAGTATTACGCATCCACGTGATAACTTCGTCCTTCTTTCTCTTCGAATGACTAGACTGCTTTCGTAGTACAATCGGTGTAGCTCGTAGCATTTCACGTTCTGACAACGGCTTTGGCTTCGATCCTCTCTTCTTCTTGGGCGGAGGTCCCATGTCATCTGTTACTTGGCCTCTGGAGGAATATTCGGGTGCTGGGGTAGATGCTGCGGGGTACGGTACGGGAGTTAAGGAGACGTATTGAGGTGATGGGTTCCAAGCAAAAGCAACTGACGAGGGAGCTGGGGTAGTAGCGGCGGATTGAGGTCCAAGGGTTGGAGTTGGTGTGGCTAGTGGTGTAGAGAGAGGAGATTGCTGGGGTGCCATGATAGGAGTTCCCTGGGGTGTGAAAAGGGGGCTTTGGGTAGGAGCATGCCCCGGTTGAAGAGCATAGTGAGGGTATGCCATGTATGGGATAAGCGGCATTTGAGGATGAGGACTCTGTGGTATTTGATACAGAGACTGTGCCATCTGATTGTGAGGACCCTGTGGTATTTGATTCGGAGACTGAGGTGTCTGGTGCGGCGAGTGATACATATAAGATGAATGCGTAACCTGATGAGGATGAGGATATCCCATATAATGATGTTGAGCCATGTGCGAAGATTGCGGCATCTGAGGATACGGAGACTGATGCTGAACCATCTGAGCATGTTGAACCTGAGCTGGAGCTGGAGGTCGTCCCCCAGTTCGACGTGACTGAACCACCTGCAGTGATTGCGGAAATTCAGGCTATGAATGAGCCACCTCGGAGGCTTCATCACCCTCCATGGGCTCAATGGCCGTATCATTGTTGTGTGAAAAAGCCATCGTGGCTATCAGACCATTTCGATATAATACACAGACGTTGAAGATGGCGATTATCAGAAGCTCCAATGACCTGGTGAGAAACTCAACGAATTCGGTCAAAGTAGCGTCACGCTAATTTTTGGGCCATATAGGTCCTCAACTCTGTACTTCACCACCAGCAAAGTTATGCCTATGTTGCAGGTGCCCTTGCTCAGAATACTTTCCACCAAGAAGAATCTACCAATCAGCTCCTTGTTTGACACTTTGATTGAGCGCGGGTGCCCAGTTTTCTGTTGTCCGACTTTTCAGCTTCGCAATCTTATACTTCGGAAGTAATGCAAATGCGTCTTGTTGAATTGCAAGGGTTGTGGTGAGAGACTCGGGTCAAGAAAGATAGTTTTGTTTAAGGGAGTTGTACGAGACGGTTGAGTTAAGTAAGTGATGGCTCGTTTAATGTCTTGACTTCGATTCAATTGTTGACTGACGTAGGTTGTTGGAAGAACCCCTGTGTGTAAAGAGGCAAAACATGAGATACCTGCCTTCCTTGATGTGAAGGTACCTTCCATTTTGGCATAATGGTATTTTCTTCTTTGTGTCGTACTTACCCTGTAGGTTTATGTCTGTAAACATCATCTGTTGAGCAAAAAGCACTCCAACTCAGCGTTCACCCTCAAAGCAAATGTCGAAATATGTCAATCAGGCTGTTCTTTTAGCCTTCTATTGCGGTCTATGTAGCCAACTCAACTACAACATAAATAGCACTTTTAAACGCTCTTAGTTCTCAACTCCTCGGGCAACAGGGCAACCTTCTCATGGAAGAGCTTCTCAGCATCAGCCCACACCCGAGAAGTCTTGCGATCCTTGAGTGTGAGCAGAGACTCCTTGAGACCCTCACTAAAGGCCTCACTAGCCTCGCGGGGAAGCATGGAAGGGAGGTGGTCAATGCTGATGACAGATAGGGGTAGGTTGTTCTGATCATCCTTGATCTCAACGGGGACGGTTGGGTCCTCGAAGGTGGTGTTGATGGAGTAGATGGGGATAGGGTTGTGAGGGTTTGTGGTGTCACAAGAAACGTCGATGACAACAGCGAGGTTGCGACCTTGCTTGGCAAGGAGTTCTTGGTTGATGAAAGGGGGAATGGGCTTGGAGAGGTAGATGGCGTTGAGGAAGACGTCAGCCTTCGCAATTTCCTCGTAAGGGCCTGAAGATGTTAGTTTCATTATCGAAGGCACACAAATAAGCACATGTATAACTTGCCATCACGGTCCTTAGTCTCGTTCAAGTCCCAGCGGGTAATGTTCTCATCAGGCATGCCGGCCTTCAGGAAAAGGTCCACAGCACCCTTACCACATCGTCCAAGAGCACCAAGGACGAGAGCAGTGGGCTTGCGTCCGAGAGCCTTTTCAGCCTTAGCGAGATCCTCACGAATCTGGTTGACGAGCTCATCTTCGTTCAGGTAATATCCGCGGCCATCAGTGAATGTCTCGACAGAAGGAAGCTTAGAGGACGAGTCCTGCAGCTGGTGAGCGAGTGTCTTGATTCCGAGCGCAGCTCCAGCAAAGCCAGCGTGAAATCCGAAACTGAATAGGTGTTAGCAAGTGACACAGAGACGATTTGGTGTTTGCTCTGCTGAGAAGTTCAGTTGTCAATGGTTGAAGCACCTGCAGAACCCGCGTAACCAACACTCGTCAGACTTGTTATTCAGGCTGCATGAAGCCAACTGGGAAGGCCGCAGCTAAACTCTCATCCTTCCCAATACCTCACTTGAGGTGCAGCATAGATACCGCTTGGCCTCGATAGCAGGAAACCGGAGTGAAGCCTCGTGAACCATGAGCTTGGTAGATGAACGGTGTAAGAGCCTATTTTCAAAGCTCATACCACCTCGATCAATCACCAGCGAAGCCCTTGCGAACTCAGGCTCCGATCGGGATCACCAGAAGATACTATTTAGCCACCCATGCTTTGAGACTCAATCATAAAGCTCAAGCTCCGAGCTCCACCCGGGGGATCGTGCATGCCCAGCTCCTTTTGGGTCGTCAAAGCCAGGATCACAAGACGAACACTTCTCGGAAGGTGAACCTCTGACCTAGTCATAAGAACCTGTCTGCTGAAGCTCGATGCTCCAAGTGCGTTGGCTGTGGGGTAGGGGCACGAAGCCGCTGTCCTCAACCATTGAGATCGTTCAAACAGGGGCAGAATCGCCAGATTTCGAGCTTCATCCTAGGAAAGGAACTTACGCAGAAACACGGCGACCTTCAGAGTCATGAAGAAACTCTAAGTCATATAAGACTGAACCGCCTCGAGCCCAGCGACCGAGGACCTGCTCCCACCCGCCTTGGTTCTGAGATGGAGTGTTAGCTGAGATTTCGCCCGAGTCGCATAGCACCCGCCTTGTAACAGTGTGCAAACGTCTAAGTCGAGTCAGTACTAGGCACACCCTCGTTCAAGAGATTCGACATACGATGTGATCATTCTTGAGAGGGAAGTCCTCTTCGGGTATCTCCTTGAGGCCTAGGATGATTGTTCCAGGCTCAGCGTTGGGCCATACACCCGTGTCGACAAGACGAGCACCAGCAGCCTCATATTCTGAGTCCTCAAAGATACGCTTGAACTTGGGGTCGGTGGACGATCGCTCGACGGAAATGGGGTATCCAGCATCAACGAGTGTCTTGATAATTGCGGGGGAGAAAGATCGGTGCTCGAGAGGCTTCTCCTCAGCGCGAAGAAGAATGTGGGGATAGTCAGACATGATGGCGACGGTTCTTAAGCTGTCGATTCTGAAGTTTCGAAAAGGATTAGCTATTTGCTTTTAATGTTACGATCGAATTGCAAAAGTTGAGTGCGAGTGGCGGAGAAGCGTGCAGCGAGTGAAAAGGCTCAACGAGGATTCAATTGACGCGCATGAAAACATAAAAGAGAGGAAACGCACAGTAAAACGCGATTGTTTTATAGAGGGATAATCGAAATGGGAAGGATACCGCGTACCTGGTGTATCGGATGTTTTTTTTTATCTGAGTCACAAAAAAGAGTCAAGGTGTGAATGGTGAAATGCTCCTGGATCGGCCTCATTGCGACCCCGGCGAAAAATGGCCCCGCTCCCGGAGCCGAACAACCCCGCGGTGGGGACTTTGATTGCGCTTTTGGGTTTGGCGAGGGGAATTTGAAGCTGTTTTGACGATTGCATCATCAATTCAGGTCCTAGCTTCTGAAGCTCGAATGCAACTGCCGTGAATTCATTGTGAAATTATTTCACGAGAGGAGCGTGGTAGACCTTGAGCTCAAGAGACTGATATCTATAAGTTCTTCATTTTTTTTTTACTCTGACTGCAATTGCTTACGAGGTTGGCACGCAACATCGGAGCTTAGATACTAAGGTACACTAACAAGGACTGTAGTTACTTTCCTTCATCTTGCCCGTGAATGATGAGAAGAAACTCAGGAGAGGCTAATTCAACATTGGTATCTTGTTATATTGATACCAGTCAGGGGTAATTGCTTGATTTTAACCATGATGATAGAAATTGAGTATTCATAATCTGATCATTATCCATATGGTGACTCGGAATATTGTGAGTCATCAAGATACCTTAACAACTTGATTCAGCTCATGGCTCCCTGCAGGCCAACAAGAAGAGCACCAAACTGCCAATTGTCCAGACCTCATCCCTTTACCTCCCTCCCATCATCATGATTCCCCTTAGTCCAATTAAGCCCTACCAAGCTTGGCCAAAAATGATTGGTCCATCTCACTTCCGTTCCTGGCCCACTTCCCAGCCAAGCAACCATCGATCGCCGGAAATGATGCGCTCATTCAGCAGATCGGATCGCGTTCCTTGGACGACCGCATCAGATCGGTCCAACCTTGTTCAGCTGAGACCATGCACGCACTTAAACGTCAGAGTCAATTTGCTTTTTGATTAAGCTGAATCGATCACCGTAAGCTACTTGCGACGCATTGTTTGTACCTTTTTTGTCTATGACGCTACGACTAAGAGATGGCTGGAATGACGGCACGGCTGAGACCAAAAGCAAAAACAATGGTTACAAAACCTGGGTGATGGTTTAAACAAATCCGTAATTTTCTCATCAATTGATCGTGTTCACTCAAAACTCTCGATATCACACATATTTCAATCACACAGCTGTAAACAAGATCGCAATCATGAAGGGCAATGATGAAGTTATCCAAGAGTTCAACGAGGTCGTCAACATGACGGCCTCAGAGCTCGAGGAGTGGCTCAAGTCAGACGATTCCAACAGTGCTGGTTGGCCAAAGGAGGATGAGAATGGAGAGACTGTTGGACATGACAGCGGTCGCAAGATTGTTGAGATCTTGAAGGAGAACCCCAAGAAGGCACCTGAGAAGTACACCGATGAGCAAATCCAGCACATGCGCAAGGTTGTTTCTTACTGGTAAGTCTCTCACGCTGATAGCGACTGATATCAGATGCTTTGCTGGTCAATTGGATGTTAACACCCCGCAGTAAGCGACATCTTGCCCAGGAGACCAAGGCCAATAACGACAAGTCCCCCGAGGAGGTCAAGAAGACCAAGTCCTACGCGTCACTCAAGAACTGGGGTCACGATTTCCTCAAAGCTCAAGGCAAGGAGAACGGCAGTGAGAAGAAAGAAGAGAAAAAGGGTAAGGGAGAGGCCAACGACGACGCTGAGGAAGAAGAGGAAGAAGAGGACGGTGATGACGATAAGCAAACCGGCGAGAAACGAAGAGCGACTCGAAGCCAGACCGGTTCCAACAAGAAGCGCGAGACTGGCAAGGGGGAATCTACAAAGTCCAATGATGAAGAGGAAGAGGAGGAGGAAGACGAAGATGGCGATGATGACGAGAAGAAACAGGGACAAAAGAAGCAGTCCAATGGCCAATCCAAGAATTCCAATGGATCTTCAAAGAAGAATGAAGATGCTGAAGAGGAGCAAGGCGATGATGAGGGTGGTGATGACTCTGGCGCAAAGAAAGGACCCAAGAAGGGTGAGACTGTGAGCTGGAACTGGGGACAGGGACAGCCCGAGGGTAAGGTCTTGGATGTCAAGGCTGAAGAGTGAGTTTCTCAATTGCTGATGAGATTGTTTGCTAACATCGAGTACAGTACGACAATTACGACAAAGAATGGCAACGAGGTCTCTAGGAAAGGTGATGAAGAGGACCCTGCTGTTGTATTGGACACAGGCAAGAACAAGGCTATTAAGAAGGCTCATGAGCTGAACTAGACGGTTTCAATCGGGTTTCTCATCAAGGGTTAATAAAGGAAGGGATATATCTGTACTTTACTGGATCTTAACATTGTAATACCATGTTTGCACAACAGCATGGAGCCGCTTCTCGCTTGTCTGGGAATATGACCCATTCACTACTCGTCTCAAGACACCGCAAGCATCTACACTGCCATCATCAGATGACAGTTAGATATTGACGAAAAGTGCCAAAAAGAAAGCACATCTCAATCATGAATATGTAATTTATAGGAACAGCCCGATGCGGGGGTCGAACCCGCAACCTTGAGATTGTGAACTCTTAAGAGTCTCACGCTCTACCGATTGAGCTAACCGGGCGTGCTTCGCCGGGTGATCAAGCCCGTATGTTGAGATCGGTAGCCACAAAGTGATATTATATTCATGAGGTGCATTGGTCTCGTTATCAAATAATGGGATCCTTGTGTTTTGTCGCTGGGCGCTGGTGAGATTGTGAATGGGATGATATTTTTCCAGGAGCGCGGGACGTGACGGTTCAGTGAGTCGGCCAGTAGAAGCTTGCAACAGACAAACCATTCACTGAGACAAACCCGGCATTCTTTTTCAGAGTATCCCTTCCTTCAAGGGGCAAGAAAACAGCGAGCCTTACTGTAGGGTGTTAAAGTAAACTTAGCAGAAGTCATCCTAAACTTAGGCTATATTACCTAAGTCTTTTTGTCATTTAGGATCTAGATCCTAAGTTTTCTTTCTTCCCCTAGCTCTTGAACTCAAGGGCTGGGGCGATTAGCGTGTGAAAACCTTGTGTAAAGTGAAAACACTACAGAAATGCCTCTGGGGATATTTCAGGGGCATATCTGCAGAGGGACGCTACAAGTTCCATATAAACAAAATGTTTCGATGCAATGCCATTTTAATAAACAGGAGTCGCCTCAATGTATACCTAGGGTAAATCTGACGTCGATGAAGCTCCATCGTCACAAGCAAAAGACCATGACAGCGCTTAGAACAGTGGGTCTTGATTCAGCTTCGATGGCGGTTTCATGATACTAACAACAAACCATGATGGCCAATACTTTTGCTGTAAATAGTTACTTGCTGGCTTATATCTTGAGTCTAAGTAAAACCAGGTAAAATTACTTATTGTAAGCTGCTCTAATGCACTCTTCTCGAGTTCTCTTGGGCTCGTGTAGCAAACAGCGGGTAAGCTCTAGAATTAGTGGATGTCAGCGAAATGTGGGGTCCGCGCCGCCTGTTTCATGAGGAGCTGCTTGTGCTTGCTGCGAGCGGGCGCAGCATTTCCTCAAGTTAAGCTTTCTTGGAATCTTATCGTCAACCTACGGCAACTCTGTTGCTTGCCTGCCTTGCTTCCATTCTCTTCCCCTCTTTTATTGCATTACTTTAACGACGGCCTCGTTTAGCGTTTCCTTTCTCTAAAGCGTCATTAACATTATCCATCTGTAGCTTGCAAATTGCCTTTCGTTTCTTTTGTTCTATTCGACTTTCCTTTGTTTCGCGATTGCGCGGCATGTTTCTTTCGCCCGAATCGCAACCGTCATGACCCGCCGTCCCCCATCATGTGAGAGCGTCAACTCGAGATTATCATGCCCAAGACTAATCGCCAGTAGGATTGAGCCCTCTATTCGCGTTCGCCGGGCAATTCATGCCAATGATGCGACACTCCTCCGCCGAATTCTGAAGTCACATCCCACTCTCCTCCTCAACCCCGACTCTTCACCATCCGGTCTCTCCAATTCGAACATGCACCTAGCAGCCTCACTAGGCCATCGCGAAGTCTGCGAAGTCCTCTTGCAGCTTGGTCACGAAGATCCAGTCCCTGCACTCAACGAGACCCATCAAACAGCACTTATGCTCGCCTCAGCCGAAGGCCATACCGAGGTTGTACAACTCCTCTGCGAACACGATAAAACATGTATACTTCGCCGCGACATCCGAGGTCGTGATGCTGTGATGGAAGCTAGCCTTGGCGGACACGACACTATCGTCCAACTCCTCCTTACGTTTGTCCCCGGCGGACCTTACGATGCAGTCCGCCGCGCGGACGTTGAAGGGAATACGGCGTTGCATTTTGCGAGTGGGAACGGCAACCTGTTAGTGCTGCGAACGCTGCTGGCGGCGGGCGCGGATATACATAAGCGAAACATATGGAATTGGACGCCAGCTGCGTACAGCGCTACTGTGCAGGCCGAGGTCTATCTGAAGGGTCTGGTGAATGAGGTGGGCAAGAGACAGCAGCAGCAACAGAAGAGGGAGATTGAGTCAGCTAAGAAGGGAGGGGGGGTTCGTGTCGTTGAGGCTACTAGCGACGAAGACTAAATCATGCAGAACTTATTCAAATCATTGTTGCGTCCACTATCGGCGGTACACTCGTAGAGGGAGTCATTCCAGCCATTTCATGTGTTAGGACATGCGAAATGGACAAGAACATATTGCCCCAACTTGGGAGCCTAGGGGGGGCATGAAACTCTTGAACTTGATCCTAAATGTTATAAATACCTAGGTAAGTTATCCTAAGCTTGAAGG